GGTATCATGTGGCTATACAAACTTCTATTTTTCAAGCTAGAAAAATCCCCCCCCTCCCATCGTTTACGGAAAATGTATAGTAAATACATTTTTTTTACAATTTTGAGCTATCTATACAATTTACAGTAGAAAAATGGGTTCTCGTTTAAAATACAAATATTTCGTATATCCACAGGACACTCTTATGTACCTATAATAACTAGTACAGAAAATATCAAGAATTTTAAAATATGGTCTTTACGTATATTATAAACTTCCAAAAATTAAATTTCTTTCTTAACTGCATTATTGAAGGAAATTAGTGAGTAAGCATGCTCGGCAAATCACCCTGTATATACTTATTATTTACACATATTCTATATAATTCTATAGATTTATATTTGTCAAAACTTATACAAATACATGGAGACGATATCTTTTTATTCGTTGTTATACCTACTTATAAGTCAACGCCATGTGAACATAATTTAGTTAAATATGGCGATATCAAATACGTATCAATAGGTTTGGTTAACGATTTCGTCGATCTTTACACATTAGTGATAAATCCATTATAATATAATATACCCAAAATGTATAAGCTGCTTACACTTTTTTTTGAAAAATATAATAGTTGCTTATTAGTTGCTTAAGTAATACAGTTTTTAGTCATTTAAAAACATCATCGTTATTATGTTATAATATTGTTAACAAAAATGGCAACACCGTAATTATGTCGGCCCTTGTGAATTAGGCGTTTATTTTAAAATATATAATTCAAGGCCACGACGATGATTACTGAAAATCCGTAAACTGTAAAGAAAGCGAAACGACATCGCAGTCCGAAAGGCAATTATATCTTTTTCATAATTAATCTGAAAGCATTTGTTCGAGCGCGGGTTTTAATTATTTAAAAGTTAAAAATTCAACAACTCCGTGAGACGACCGAGATAAAGCTCGAAAGAGTATACAGCCGAAAGCCCATTAGCCGGGTTCCGATCACCACAGCAGTTATTATTATTATTATTATTATTATTATTTTTTTTTTTTTAACTCCATAACTGCATTTCCATAGTATAATTTAATCGTCGGATTCGTTACCTTGACGTATACACTAATTGTACATTAATTTGATTTTGAGCTTGGATCGGATATAACATTATTGTACCATATGATTATCTTGTCTATACATATTGGTGGACGATCAAATTATTTATATTTTCTGTATTCCCGAGTAAGCCACATGAATAAACTCTTGGAAAAATGTACGATTTTAGAATATTTCAACACGTGTCTATAGGTTCTGAGCGGTGCGATGAATGTATTGATTTTACAATGGTGTGTGTGTGTGTGTGTGTGTGTGTGTGTTTTTCTATTCCTTTTTTCGACTTTGGTCACCCTCTGGTAACTACCTTTCTGGTTGAAAATTGGATCTAGTTTGTCCTTTGAAGGTTCCAAAATGAAAATATATTCTCAGTATTTTTCAGAATAATCGGAACAAAAAAATTATGGAAAAAGGGAAATTTGTATGTTCGTAAGTAGGTACCTAAAACCAGTTTTCACCCAAATCGATTTTGTTTTTTTAAACATGAGTAAAAATACATAGAAACTTTTATACAAATACTTGTATGGCTTAAAATACATATTATGGTTTATTAGCTTACAATAGTTTACAATCGTTTAAATATACCCATTATTAAGAAAATGTTTTTTTTATATATATTATAATATTTTACATATAGGACCTTTTATAAGCTTATAATGTTCATGTTTTTACAACATTTATCAAAATCAATAACATTTAGAAACTATATCGAAGTTAAAGGAATTATAAAATATTAATTTGTATTGCTAATATGACTTGAAAATTCAATACATTTTTTTTTTTTCATAATCTATTATATAAAAATAAGTCCGGTTTTCCTCCCTGACGCTATAACTCGAGAACGCACGAACCGATTTCCACGGTTTTGCATTCGTTGGAAAGGTCTTGGGCTCCGTGAGGTTTATAGCAAAGAAAATTCTGGAAAATTCAGGAAAAATTCAACAGAAAAGTGGGGAAATCGTTTTTCACATACAGCGCCATCTATTATACATAGCATGTACTTCAAACCAATAGCAACGGTGCGTGATAAAGTGTTTGACAGATAGTCATTATTCTATGCTCAGTTAATTTCATTTAAGCTAAAATAAATTATGTAAATTATGTGGATCGTGCATTTGAAGTTAAATTCAACACTCTGTCCATAGTCCAAAATGCCTAGAGAACGACGTGCGAACATGAATGAAAATGAAAATGAACAGCAAAAACAAGTATACAAAACATTAATGCAAGCGGTGGACAATAATACTGGTGGTCTATTCTTCCTGGATGCACCTGGAGGAACGGGGAAAACATTTGTCATTTCATTGATTTTGGCCACTATTCGATCAAGATGTGACATAGCTTTGGCGTTAGCATCATCTGGAATTGCGGCGACTCTTCTAGATGGCGGTCGTACTGCACATTCTGCGCTTAAGTTGCCACTCAATTTAAACACAATTGATACTCCAACGTGCAATATTTCCCGATCCAGTGCAATGGGAAAATTGTTAATGCAATGCAAGCTCATTGTTTGGGATGAGTGCACAATGGCACATAAGAAATCACTTGAAGCACTTAACTTCACACTGAAGGATCTTCGGAGAAATAACAACATCTTTGGCGGCTTGATGATATTGTTGGCAGGCGATTTCAGGCAGACGTTGCCAGTAGTTCCCCGTGGAACGCCTGCAGATGAATTGAATGCTTGCCTAAAGGCATCACCTTTATGGAATAACGTAAAAACATTATCGCTAACCACTAATATGAGAGTTCAACTTCAAAATGATCAAAGTGCTGCACAATTTTCCAAACAATTGTTAGATCTTGGAAATGGAAAAGTCCCAGTTGATGCGACATCTGGATTAATTACTCTTACCAACGACTTTTGCCGATTTGTAGACACTCAATTAGTTCTTATTGAAAATGTTTTCCCAAACATTAGTGAGAATTATAAGAATTATGCTTGGTTAAGTCAACGAGCAATTCTTGCAGCAAAGAATAATGATGTCCACGCACTGAATTTCACCATTCAATCAAAAATTGCTGGCGATTTGGTGACATACAAATCCGTTGATTCAATAACAAATCCCGATGATGTAGTAAATTATCCAACGGAGTTTTTGAACTCTCTGGAGATACCAGGATTTCCACCACATAACTTGCAACTGAAAGTTGGTACAGTTATTTTGATACTGCGTAATTTGAATCCACCGCGACTTTGCAACGGTACTCGACTTTCGGTAAAGAGACTTATGCCGAATTTAATTGAGGCAACCATTATTAACGGAAAGTACGCAGGTGAAAATGTATGTATTCCTCGAATACCAATGATTCCGACTGATCTTCCGTTTGACTTCAAACGATTGCAATTCCCAGTTCGCCTTGCGTTCGCAATGACAATTAATAAGTCGCAAGGCCAATCGCTTAGTGTTTGCGGGATAAATTTGGAAAATCATTGTTTTTCACATGGACAGTTATACGTTGCGTGTTCACGAGTTGGGAAACCATCCGCTTTGTTTGTGTTAACGTCAAACCAAAAAACAAAAAATGTGGTTTACCAAAGAGCACTACAATGAAACAATTAAATAACACTTCATTTTAGTAGGTAATTGAAATGAATTTATTACTGTTGTGAAATGAAATAAATATTTTCCTTTTCAAATATATAACAAAAAAAATTTTTTTTCTTTATATTTTAATCACCAAACGAAAAAAAACATAAAACGAATCTGGTGGCGAAACGGAGTTCGCCGGGTCTGCTAGTATTTTATATATTAAGTTCATATTTAGACAAGATTTATTAAAATCAATAACATATAAAAATTATATTGAATTTAAGAAATTATAAAATATTAATTTATACTAGCAATAAGGCTTGAAAATTCAATACAATATTCTCCATAGGTATTCCTTACTAAAATCCAAAAATCTAAAAAGATATAAGCACAATTTTTTTTTTTACTGACATTTAAAATTCAAAATTTGATTAAATTGGATATTTAAAATAAAAATTATTCTGTCAGTTATCTATTTTGAAATTCAGTAATTTTAAGCTATTCTCTAAACAGAGGTCTCCAACATTTTTTTACGACGGGCCAAATTTGTGTTCCTCTTTGGCATCGCCAGCCAAAATTTTTAGAGGAATAGTGAAATTATGAAATTGAAGAATAGATAAGATTTATTTGGAAAAATGTATATTTATTTGTACACATTTTTGTATAACTACTTTTTCTATTATTAATTAGTATTTACTATTTTATGTATGACTATTATAAGCTGTTATGAATAACACCAAAATAATAGATGATTAATTAATTTTATTTAACCTAATTCAATAAATTAAAAACAATGAAAACTAAATGATAATAATATATTAAATATATTATTTTCAAAACATTAATTAGCTTGGCGGGCCTGTGCAAAAACCTCGGAGGGCTGTAAGTTGGAGGCCCCTGCACTCCAATAGCTTACACCGAATCACTAAATAATAATTACCTATGTGAATTAGTTTAATAGCTAGACATATAAAAAATATACCTTTTATGAAATGTACTTAGTAATATTGATTGTGACAGACCGTCTCCGATCAGCGTCGTTTTACGTATATTCAATGATAATGAGGTATCGTCGAATTCGAATTTAACGCATATTATATTACAGTGAGCTACAACTCGATTATAAGGTACGGTCGACAGTAAAGCGGATAACTACTTTTTTCGTTACTGACCCAAACCCTATCCTAGAAAAAAAAAGAAAAAATTAATGTTCGAAGATTCACCGCCGCCACAGTCCTTGCGGATTCGCTTGCAGCGCTGCTTCCCCCCAATAGAATTTTAATTATCTCAAAATATTATCGAAGTTGGTTTACTGATATTGTTGTTGTTTCAGGTGAAGTCTTCCACCCGCCGCCGACTCGTTTAGTGCTCGTCGCGTCATGATGCCGGTAAGACTGCAGTGGGGCCGACTTTTGGGCAGCGGTCATTTGCGGAGGACGTGCGTCCCGCTGGTCTGCAACGGTCAGAGTCAACAGGTCAGACGTCGCACCGAGTCCAAAGTGGTCCGTTCGCCGTTTTCCGACGTTCAGATCCCGGAAAATTTGATAGACGAATACGTGTGGAGCGGCCTGGAGAGGTGGCCAGACAAAGACGCACTGGTGAGTGAATCTCGTCGATACATATTATTATAGTGTTATATAGGTATACCCAATATCAACCATCGAAACTGTGCTGTGAGTTTTGAATATTCAGCAGATACGAAAATAGAAATATATCCGACAGCGATGTGTATCTGGACGTGTTATTATATATTATTATAATATAATATTACCAAATGTCATTTTACATTCTGAGCGGAGCGAGGTACAATGGTGCTTATTTTTTTTTTTATCCTGTATACAAAATTTCTACCAGAAGGAGTGCTTGGACTTCAACATAATATAGTACCTTATTTTTTAGCAAATTGGATCAAATAATGTTACTTTAGGGCGGTTATTTTTCGATTTTTTCAATAGTTATTTAATTCCACGAGAAACACTACCGACTAATAACGAAAAACCGCTAAAATGGGATTTTAATTTCTAACGCTTTGTTTATCACCGTAGAAACGAATAAAAATAAAAATAACGATTTTAGTTATTTTGTTGTAATTTATAATATTAATTCAACTTGCAGGCTATAATAAAATATAATAACAATATTATAGAATACCCAGACTGACACAAACCGTCTCCGCTCAGAATCGTTCTTCATATTATACAATGTCACAATGATATTATATCATAGAATTCAAATTTAATACAATCCATCATACAATGACCCACTTGTAACCTACTGTACAGCAGAGTGACATCCACTTGCCCACTTTTTTTATTTTAGACGACACTTAATTTTTCTTTGTGTCTTTAATAATCGCACGTATATTCGTATTATGTATATTGCTACATATCTATTTGCATGTATGATCTATACAATACATTATATACTAACATTTTTTGACGAACCTAAACGTCTAGGATATTAAAATATTTCATATTATGACGTTACGGCTAAAAATACAACGATCACGATTTGTCGATAAATAGCTTATCTCGTTTTATGTATTTCCTAAGCTCCAATTACACAACCATCATAATATTATTATACCTACTTGTATAAAATCATTTATTCTTCATAATAATAATATCTTATGGATGTTATCATATGGATATTTGCGAGTCTACGGACGTAAAATGGAAATACTTAACTCGAATGGATCAGTAAAGTGTCTCTTATATGTTATAATGTACACGTCAGTGCAGTGATATGCACGCGTGTACATAATTACAAACTACTTTTTATCACAAACGAGCGGAATGTCCTCATTTCGCTTAAATAAAACATACGACGTGAAATGTAGGCAAGTATACAATGGGTGTATCATTAAAATATATATTAACGTGAATATTATAAATTTGTTTTTATATTTATACAACGACCTCTTAAATATCGCGTGTGCATTTTTTCCGACCTCGTTGAAAGCGTTTTAATTTTTAACGATTGTGTGTACAGTATTTATATTTATATAATTATTATTGTTATTATTATTATATGTTATACGCCGACTAAAGTCAACGCCAAGCATTGATAATGCAAAAAAGTAAAAACAGTAACTATACCTGTGTAAAAATTAAAAATTAGCCTTATGAAACGAGTTTTTGAAATTACATTTGCCGATTTTTATTCAGGAAATACAATCATTCCAGCAGAGACGTATAAATATTGCGACGCACAATTATGTTTATAAACATTCCGACATTATTCTGTATGAACGAATAACCGGTATCTGCCTATACTATATTTTTCAAGCTAAATTTTAAATACATTCGTTTTTAATTCGATATAATATGTTTAACGAGTTGTAAGTATATTTTTTCAACAATGACTGAATAATAGGAGCAGAGATGTAAATATAATAATATTATGCTAAAATATGTGTTCATGGTACACGCGTATACCTATAGTTGATGAAAACGATTTTTTTTTTTTTGAACTAATTTAAATACAAATTAAATTATTAAACAAATGTTTGACTAACTAATTTTAATAAAAAGGAATTAAACATGATATAGTTGTCGTTGAATTGTTTACGAGTTGTTTCACAGCATCCGGTCATTGAGTACTATAGTAGTATTTGCGAGGACCTACGTATTTCATCGTAACGATAAAAAAAATTGCGGTTTAAATCCGTAAAAATTTAAAAATCGTTAATCATTTTAAAAATACAATAATAGGTACATTCATAAATAAAGTCATCGATTGTTTGTATATGTATTATAATTATTTATATAATATTATCATATTATATTAAATTATAGTTGTTAATAATTTATTATTGTTATAAGGCGTTGGAGTGTTGTTACGTATTTTACAACTTTATTTATTAAGAGGACCTGCTATAGTGACAATTGGATTTATTGCTATACACGTGTTTCATTAAAACCATGGGTAGGTATAATTTAAAGGTTTTTTACAATATTGCTGTAGCAGCAATTATTTGGAAAGGCTTGTTGTATTTTAGTACACACTTTTTTAATTAAAATTATGTGTCCCACTGCTGTATTTTTCATCCATATTTGACTGCAGGTTTTTTTCGTTATAAATAAATAACTGGTAAACGCGATTTATTTATAAATTAACATATTTATTTTACGCATATCATTATGTGGGTTAACTGCGTATAATATTATCATAAAACAACATAGATATATATATATATATTATTATAAGGAAAAACATTTCAACTTTTCGGAGAAACCTTATACGCGTATTATAATTTATGTGCATACGTTTAGTTGTTTTTTTTTTTTTTTGGTCAATTTAACCACATTATTTATTTCATCAATTTTATTTGAATTTTTTTTTCTCGAAACACAGGTGTGCGGAGTGACCAACAAGAAATTCACATACCACGAGACGAGGTTGGCGTGCAAGAGATTTGCGGCCAGCCTGAAGAAGAGAGGTGCTACGACGGGCCAAGTATTGGCCGTGCTCTTGCCAAACGTTCCAGAGTTCGCCTTGACCGCTCTGGGTGCCATCGAAGCTGGTCTGGTCGTGACCACGATCAATCCCGTCTACACGTCATGTGCGCTACGGTTTTGTCGACCATCTAAAATTATATTATGATATACCTAAAAAAATTAATTTCGTCCCGTGCATGTAGACGATATGAATAAATAATATTATTGGTATGGGGAAAAATTATGTCCTAGGTAAAAAATATATCCTACGGTTAAAAATTCCTAGGTGAAAAAAAGTAACGGATAAAAAATCCAAATTTAAAACTGCCAGTTTAAAAAATGTCAATAACGACAGTATAATCTCTTTATATAAGTCTTCAGCTGTACGTCAGGGCAGAACACCACGGCTGGACCGATTTTGATGAATTTTTTTGCGTGTGTTTTAGCGGGTCCCCGGTAGGTTTAGATTCACAGTTGGACCAAAAAGCCAGTAGGTCCGACCCGGCAAAGTGCTCAAATAATTATTATTTGTTTAAAAAAGGCTATTTTCTATATACTTTTTAATTGAATTTTTGTTCTTCCCGTTGGTTTTTAAGACTCAGATATTTAAGTACAGGATATTATATTTACCTAGGGTCAATATTATTATATGTGTACATGGTAATTTTCTTACCAACAACAAACCTTGTACAACTATAAACTTGAAATTCTTAGTTGTAATTAGGGTTCGGATTTAAAGGCAATAATATAATCAGTAAAAAAAGCATTTAAAATCTCAAAAAAGGCAATAAAAAGCATTTAATTTATATTAAAAGCAATTACCAAAAATAGTTTGTATATTGCATATTTAACTAGTGTGTATTAAAAAAAAAACCACCATCAAGTACTTCGATAAACTGTCTTGAGTAAAATGTTGACGGTTTGGGCTTAAAATATTTTTGTACATAGAAAATGTAATAGGGGTGAACTGACGAACAATTTTGAGTCCATATAGTAAGTATATACGCTTTATGAACATATTTTAATCTATAGATAGGTAGCATGGATACTTTTATAATCGTTAAATTTTAACTGGCCATACCAAATACTCGATAAAGTATTTATCGGTATCGGTAGATGTCGCCTAGAATAAAACCCATTAAAAATAATTAACAGCCGACAGTCGACAATGCACAGTCTTCAGAAAATCTTATCGATTTATACCGTTTATACATATGTCGTGTATAAAACTATTATATCAATTGAAAATTAAACACAATAAAGACATTTATAATTGAAAAAGGCAAAAAAAAACGGCAAAAAAAATTCGTTCATCATCTTATACCTATTAAATTTTATATAAAAATTATTTCTTTATTATTATTATTATTAAAAAAAAACAATTTTGCCTTCAAATCCGAACCTTAGTTATAATCAAATAACTAATTTGGTTTACCGTTCGATATTGTTTGCAGAGAACCTTTACATATTTTAATGTTTTTTTTATTAAAATTAATCGATTGGCTTAGAGTTTAGATTATAAGTATTTAAAATTAGAAATCAGAAAAATGTATAGCCAGGAAAATCTTCATAAAAAAAATTTTAAAACTTGAACTTTCACTGATATATTGTAATGACCTTTGTCTGCTAAAAGAATCACTCTGTATATTAAAATATGAAGGCTGACACATAAGTTCAACTAGTTTTTAACGGGTTTGATATTGAAAATTTCAATTAAATTACTAAAAATACACATATTGTTCGGAGAGGCTTACAAATTGAAAGTGGATTTCTAAAACGCTATAAATATTGTTTATGAGTTGTGCGATTATGAAATTGTGTGTGTTAAAAACTGTTTCGGTTAGAGAAAATATCCTTCAACGCCATATTATGGATGTACAATTTTCACGCGAGATAAATGTATGTTAAAAATGTATATTTTCAATGGCTTCTGTTTGCCAGTTCAAACAATCACATAACATAATATTATAAAAGTCAAAAACTATACTGGTTTTCTTGCTCAATACATAAACATGAAAAATAAAAGCATTGATATAGCACGAATAAAGTCGTTGTCTGTGACGAAGTTAAAATTTAGTGTCATAAGTATGTCTGTAACCTTTTGTGATTTCATCATGCGTCTATTTTTTTTTTCGTTATAAATAAGAAACGTGTTGCGGTTGCTTATAAAATATTCATATATGAGATATCGGAAAAAAGAACCATCGCGGAACGCGTAGCGAAATTGCCTATTCAAGACGCCGTGTTATCGTAATTGTATTATTGAAACTTGTAGTAAAAGAAAGTCTCATGAGACACTGGGAAAAATGACTTAATAATAGTAGGTAAAAACTCTGTGTCGAGAACAAGCAAAAGTTCAGTCTGAGTATACGTAGGTTGGTCGTCGTGGAGTTAAGCGTTTGATTATGTATGAAGACTAATACAATTTCAAGTGGTTTCGGAAATGTGGGTATTCCAATATACAGTTGAATTTTTTTGGGATCCTAGATTTTTGTTAAATATTGATTTAGGAATAAATTGGATGGTTGAGATTTGGTACTAAGCGGGCAATCGTGCGTGCAAGTCTACTACCCAACGCAATAAAGAATGTGTGCCGCCTAAGTCTTGTAAAACACAATTAAATAATAATTCAACGTAAATAATATTAAGTAAACGTATAAACTATAACAACTGATTAGTTATATTTGAAATACCATTTCGGCCGATTCCATTAGACTCTTACATGTACTGTCACGTATGTTGACTGACTTCGTGATTTAATATATTATTTTGGATGACAATATAATAATATTACACTATATTGTAATTTAGACGTTATTCAGAGTATTCAGACACTGACCACTTGTGGTGGTTTTATTTCTCATAAGATCTTGTGACGGTGAATGTTATTCTGAATGGTTTATTTGAAAGATTATCATTGTAGTCCGTAGAAATTTCTATAGTTTTCGTAGATTTACTGATCCAGAATGGTGTGTTTGATAAAGTATTATAGGGACAATCTTACGGGGCAAAGTTAGCTCATAACATTGGTATCGATAACGTTATTTCCTGAAAAAAAGACCCAAGTACCTACATAGAGTATAAATAGGTATTTCCCGAGAGGGTGATGCGTCTTTTGTGTGAAATTGTTCGCGTTTTTCTTTCATTTTTATTATTTGTTTTTTTGGGGGGCGTTAGTTTTCATCTAACAGTTCGGTTATTTATTTCAGCATTTTGCAACAACTGTTCTCGATATAAAAAAAAAGTTGTGTAGGTATATTTAAATCCCCAAAATACCGAAACGAGAAAATCGATAGCAAAATAATTACTATACAATGACGGTCGGAAAAAATATATGGGGGGGGGGGGGAAATCGTTCTCAGGTAGGTAATCAAAAAACCATTACCCAAAGCACCACACGCGAGTCAACCGGTGGTGGTGGTATAACGTCATCGGCAGCCGACCGGAATTCAATGAACGGTAGACATAAAAGCACACGAAACAACTGAAATTTCCGCGTAGGATATGCCGATATTGGTCCACGTGTTTTTGGGAAACGATGCTGTGATAATATTATAATATGTTATGTGCAAACGATTGTAAGAATAATAATATACAATATTATCTACGTGATCAGATAACTTTTACCGATTTTTAATTAAAATGAGCCTTTATTTCTGGAACCTATTTTCTCAACAAAAAAATGTAACCTAAAAACATCAAACTATTGACAATATTAAAGTCGGTTACGGGGTTATATTTTAATCAATAGAAGAAATTCTGAATTTCTGAATAGGTACCCATATAATATTATATGTATTTTATTATTATTTACATATTTATATGTAGACCATACGGAGCGTTTTTATAAAATGTGATTTGATTTTTCTATGAGCTTTAAGTGATAGAATATTCGAAAACATCGCAGATTTTTTCAAACTGTAAATTGAATTTAAGAATAATTTTGAGAAATGTTTCGTATAATCTTTACAACATTAACTACTGTTAGACGCGGATTTTTTTTTCCATAATTTATTGAGTTTCGGTTACTGCAATGCTAGATCTTGAAATGTTGTCCACAATATCGGAAAGCAATCATATATAGGTTATATTCTAGGTACTATACAAAAGAGAAGTGTGGCGATTGTTTGTATTTGGCAAATCGGTAAAAAAAAATTCATAAATTTCAGAGCGCGTGGCATCATTATACTATAATAATATCATTGAATACGGTTTTCCAATATTTCTGCAAGTCGTCGAGTGCTATAGCAACCGATTTCGGTTTTTTTTTTCAGTCGAGATCGCCCACCAGTTTAAGGACTCCGGTGCAGTCGGGGTGGTGACGATTCCTGAGTTGTTGCCCAAAGTTTTCGAAGCACAGAAGCTGATGGACGGGCCCGGCGTGAAACCGCTGTACGTCATATCCGTAAACGGCAAAGGCGAGAGACCCAGCGGCGCATGGGACTTTGACGAGATGCTCGATCCGATGGTGGACACTTCCGTTCTGAAAAAGTGCCGATCGAATGTCGACGTGGCCTTTATGCCGTACTCGAGCGGCACGACCGGTCTGTCCAAAGGCGTGTCGCTGTCGCACCGGAACCTCGTGGCCAACATCACGCAGACGAACCATCCGGAAGTCAATCACTTTTCGGACACGACAGGTACAATAAATTATTACGTCTTGAATATATAATTATTATGGTTTGAATACGTTCGAAACATTATAAACTACTATAAAATATGCACGCTAAAACATTCAAATACAACATTGGAAAATGCATTCAAAAATATAGTGTAGGTAGGTACTATCATATAAAAAATTTACAATAGAATAGTTTGAGTTAAAAAATGATTTTTAGTATGCTAATATTACTATAAATATTTTAAATGTATTATTTATACAAATTATACTTTACTATATTATATTATGAATGTTTATAAATTAATATGCAGGGTGATTCACCTAGTATGCTCATCCCTTTTTTTTTTTTTTTTAATAATGCAGTTATTTAAAATCTATTTTTTAGAATTTAAGTTTCCGAGTGGAGTGAGGAAGCTAGTGGTTATACAATGGTGTTTATTTTTTAGTTTTTAATTTTTTTAATTCTATATACAAAATTTCTACCAAAAGGAGTGCTTCGATCTCAATATAATATAGTGTTGTCTTTTAGCAAATTGGATCAAGGTGGTACTTTAAAGAGACCATTATTCGATTTTCTCAATAGTTATTTAATGCCACAGGAAAAACCACCGTCAAATTATGAAAAACCGCTAAAAATGGGATTTCAATTTCTAACGTTTTGTTTATCATCTTAGAAACGAATAAAAAATTGTAATATTATAATATTAACTTACAGGCTCTAATAAATAATAAGGTTGACAAACCGTCTCCGCTCAGAATCGTTTTTCTTATACAATGATAGTATATCATTGAATTCAAATTTGATTAAATCCATTGTACATTGACCCACTTATAACCCCTACTGTACGGCAGAGCTACATCCACTTAACCGCTTTAAGACCAAATATAAAATCATTGAGATTTGTAGTACTACAAAAGGAGTGTTCTATAGAGATACAAACTTCTGTTTTTCAAATTAGAACACTCCTTTTAAACTATAAATGTATTATACGGTGCATAATTTTTCGAAAATTTTGAAGTATCGATAAGTGATCAGAGTCAAATATCGTACTAGTAGTTTTTGAATTATATGATCCTTATGTTCTAAGGAAAAACGGTCCATGGAAATGGGTTTATATAAGATATGGGAGCTATATGGTGATTTTACAATTTTAATATCTTGTAGTATTTTAGTTATTAATGTTAATTTATCAATATTGATAATTTGTAAAAATGGCCAAAGTATAATAAATACTAGATCCAATTTTACTTCTATTTTATATAGACATTTTTATTATTATTATTTTTTATTAACTATTTTTAAGAAATATTATCCTTAGTACAAACATTTTAATAACTAAGAAACAACTCATTTAAATTTTGAATTAGGTACATTAAAATGTTTTAATAAATTATCCACTAAATAATGTATAGTAATAAAGGGAGAGGTCTCATTTAAAAAAAAAAAACGAGAAGTTTGCACCATATTCTTATTATTTCCAACATTGATTTGAATATTTTTTTCACAGCGTGGACTTATTTGGTATTTCGTGTTTGATATATTTTTCAGAAAAACTTCAACATTTTAAGTAATCTAATTTATTTAATGCTTTATTTTACGATAAAAAATATCCGACAGAGTTCATCATTGGTCGATTGTTTGTGACATAAATAAATATTAATTGTGTTGTCGCTTTATCAATGGAGTCTCTTTGTGTTGTAATGTTCTCAAATTTTTTCCGCTTCTAATAATATGATGAAAATACATTTTGTTTGTAATTTTTTGTATTTTTTTTACACTAACGAACACTGCAGAATGGCACTTGAGTAAAAGTGGAAAGAAGTCAATTTTGTCCGTTTTTATTATTATAATTTATAACTATACAATCCTGTAGAAAAAAAAACATCCACATAGTTTTTATTGACAAAATAAAAATTATTTTTGTATTTTTTTTTATAATAAATTAGCTGTAGAAAAATGAAACTTGTCGTGGTAGTGATAGTTTTCAAATACGGTGAAAATGAATAAGTCATTATCAATAAATAAAAAACACCTTTGTGTAAAATGGAAATCAATTTATTTATATTACACAGGTTTTTCGTACTGTCGCGTTGTGTAATTTATTTATTTATACATTTTTTTTTTCCAATTTTACATTTCAAGAAATATTTTTAAAGCGTGTTAATTAAAAATTATATTTTCTTATTTATAAACAAGCCATTAAGTATTTTATTGTGTAATAATATTGTTATGCTTTATTCTATTTTTTCAATGTTGTAACCTTCGTTCGAATTTTCAAATATTTTACTTACAATAATTAATAATACCTAAAATGCTTTATACTAGGCTAAAAACGTAATAATATGTAGGTATGTTAAAAAGTTATTATAATAATTCAAATAATAGGATTTATAATAATGCAATTAGTATAGAGATTATGTCACGGTTACTCAATACCATATGATAAACAAACAATATTAATAACATAAACATATTTTTGTATTTTACTAAAATAATGTAGACGGTACATAATAACGTACACTGTAGAACAAATTTATTCATAAATAAATGTAGGTATTGGCATAATTTAATATGACGTTTAAATTACTAATTGACAACTTAAAAACTCTACACATATGTATCAAATACCTGAAGTCTGAAATACCAATATTCAAATGAAATGACATAATAACGTACTATTTTTAAAACTATAGGGGAACGGAGTGGCCGAGAGGACTAAGGCGTCGATTGCGACGCGCACCGTCACCGGTTCGAACCCCGGCCACGGGTGGCACTTCTCTTCGGGCAGTCAAGGTGTCCGGAGAGAGAGGTCGCCATCCCCCACCCGGGCATGGTGCCCACTTGAACATTGTGCCACACTTGTTTAAAACCTACAGTACCCTCTCCCAATGGCCTAAGTTGGCGAGGGTTAATTAATGATAAAAAACTATAATATTATGTCTTACGTGGGGTGGAATATACTTTTATTATTTTTATTATTCAATTTAATTTAAATTATTTTCTAAAAAAATCAGTCATGCCATTACTTTTTTTATTTTAATGATTGTATACCTACCTAGTTCAAATTATTTAATTCTTCTTCTAAGCCCTACTCCGATTCATCTTACATATTATTTCTATAAACATATTCAAACGTATCGATTTCTGCCCTATCCATCTACGATTTATAATTTTAATAATATAATACAGTGTGTATACTGTCGGTAACTAAAAGGCCACGTGGAAAAAATAATTTGACGTACTAAAAATGTCAAGTTATCAAAATCTTAATGTGTTATTGTTATTTGAAGAGGAATTTAATTTGTTCGAGTTACCAAGAGTGTACTGTGTTATTATGTTTCATAAAGTAATTTCTAATAAATAATCATATCGTTTTATCGGTTTTGAATATTTCATAATGTTTACATTTTTTGATCTGTACAACAAACCTAGAGTTGTGTGCATTTTATATCACAATCGACATTTCAAATAAATACACGATCAAAGCTAATCTGAAATAAAATTTCCGACAAGTTTATATTGCTCTATCAATCGCTTCAGTAACTATTTTAACCATAAACATACAATATTGTAATTGTTTGGATAACTGTATGAATACAACGTTGATTATAATAATAGTTTATTATAACAATATGTTCAAAGGTTCTCGACACTTATCCTCGAGAACTTGACTCGACGACCGCATAATACATATAAATAAGGGGTATATTTCCTATATAATATTTAAAAAAAATAATAATAATGATATTACCATGTTGGTTTACTCAGTTATTATAATATTTATTTAAATTATATTTTTACTGTGGAAATCTCTGAGTGAAAATTATTTGTGGTCACATCGATCAAAAATATATCAAATGTCAAACACAAATTCACTCGGATTTTCGGTGCTGATTATAAAATAATAATTAAAAATATTCGACATTGTTATAATTATAATGAATTGCGTCGTATTATCATAAAATTATTCAAACATGTACCAATATTGGGAAGTATAGAATAATATCCCTAAATAAGTTATTATATTTGTTGTCAATGGTATGCCAGATATTTCGCAATGAAGTAGGTACATAACATTTTCATTACGGTATTAAATTAATTTCAAAATGGTTCTCTATTTACGATTCGAAATCAAATTTGTTAGAAAATGTTAGTACACAATTATTACAGTTAGATCAAAAATGTATGACGTAATAATAATTATAATTCTCAGAAACTATACATTCACGGTATTATTATTAGAATAAAATATCTCATCAATACTACCCTAAACGGGCAAACTCGAAATTATGTTGTTGTCTTTTTTAACATTTTCTCGGAATTACGTTTTCTAAAAATAAACCAAACAATTTGTTTTAATATCACGAAAAACAATATTTTTTTACTTTCTCGTATTTACCATGAATTTATTTTAAAAATTATTAGGTATAATATTCATACACAAATATATTTTCAACCAGCTTTTATTTATAAAAACAAACAAAAACTCGATTCTATGACCTAAAAAACATCGGTTTTCTTATATTTTATATGTTATTATAATTATGATACTGATCGATTATTTCAGCCCGCAATCGTTGAACATTTTTACACACGTGCAGAGAATTATTTTATAGATAGAGTATTCACTTTTACCAAATACGATATATACATGCATAATATAGTGATCTCCGAAACTCGAAGGAATTAATATTAGAAAAATGTAAAATAATTTTATTTAATTTTTACTCTTGTGAGAAAACTATTCACAGTTATTCTCATTATAGAATATTATTGTCATTAAATGCTGATAATCGCCCACGAAAATTGGACTGACGAAGGCCGAACTTACCCGCTGGCTGTGTTGGTATATGAACGAATGGACTATTACTATCGATCACTGTGCCGTTTAGTTTTATTATCGCACTGAACCTCGCGCAATTCAAAAGTCGGGTATATACGGCCACTTGATTCGTATGGCTGTAACTTCACCGTGAAACAAAAAATGCTATATACCCTTTGGACCTCTGTAAGTCCGAAAAGAAAATAAACACTACCGCGAAATCAAACGACTCGTCGAGTCCAAAAAAATAACAACCTCTCAGTTATTTTGAAGTCGCGGTCGACAGCTATAGTGACGATGAGGAAATTCCATTGTCTCGAACAATACAAGATTGAATGAGCTAAAGGAAAACCATAGCAGACGTATAGAGAGATCAAGACTGCAAATACTTTCGAAATTTCCCACGATTTAGAAAATTAATATTATTGTTTTGTAGGTCCTCGTAGTTTGTTTTCGCCCAGTACTTTTTCAGAACAAATCTGTTTCGTAAATAATAAAAAAAAATTAAAATCGTTTAAAGAAACCGGTCACACTATATCATTATGATGGTACTCAATGACTAAATCACAACTCGGCATAACCTGTTAATGTTCTTGTGCACGCCGAGTGACAGTAGTGTCCACAGACCCAAAACATAAAGCTACCAATTTATTGCGTTCGAAATAAATCCTAAACAATTAAATATTTAAACATCCATGACGGGGATTGTGTGGAAACTGATGATTGTAGAACTGCAGAAACGATTTCGTCAACAGTGGCCGATATATTATTATTCTAAGTTCCATTCATGAACCACCGATAGTTATATAATATTTATTACTAGTACAAATAATAATATTATGACTACGACTGATTAAAAATGATTCCTTATTCATAATTCGATACTTTTCGCAGTCCAACCATTAAATTACATAAATCCGCAGTGGATGTTAATAATAATAATAATAAAAGTTATTCTATCGAAGTAATAATTTTATTTTTGTAGCGACTTATCAAGATGTGTTGCCGGCTATTTTACCCTTTTACCATATTTATGGTCTGACAATGATTCTTCTGAGAGACTGAGTTATTGGATGTAAATTGGTGACATTGCCCAAACTCGAATCTGATTTATTTTTGAACATACTTAAAAACTATCAGGTGTGATGTGTGTTGTATGGCTATGCGACGAGAACGTTTTTTTAATTCACTTTTATGATGTTTTATTTTAGGCGACTTTATTGTACGTAGTACCACCAATAGTGCTGTTGTTGGGTCAGAATAAAAACGTCACACATGAACACTTTCAAAGTTTGAAACTTATTTGTAATGGTGCTGGTCCTGTGAAAGAAGCAGATGCCGAAAAAGTACTTGCCAGAACCCAAAACAAAAATGTACGTTTTTGTCAAGGTAAGTAAAACTTTTTTTTTTCATCCAATTAAATTGTTAGTGCTTATTGTACCTATACAAAAAACCAAACATTTTAAATAAAACAATAAATTAAAATAAAGTGAATTATAGTGTTGAAATGTATAACATTTATTTTATACATCAGTATTTTAAAAATAATAATTATGAAGAATCTAAAAATATGAAGATATTCACTATTGTTAGAAAGTAATAAAAAATAATATAATCAAGGCCACCCTGTAAACAATTTATTGTTTATTTCATAAAAGTTATGAACGTTTAAAATGTATTGTAACAATATATTATTAATGTTGGACATAATATCAAAGTTACATTTTAAATAGAATTGTTATTATGTAAAAAAAAATATACATAATATACTGTCAAATTTCAGCCATCTAATAATAAAAAAAAATAATAACAATAACAATATTAGCATTGTAGGAGTGAAACTAAAATTTTACTAAAATAACTTTGTATTCTATATTTTCTCAAAAATAACAAAAAAATTGTTGATCATACTCATAAATTAAACAAAAACTTGATATGATTTTTGAACTTATGCTTACGTTTCCAGAGTCTCTTTTCCTAGAATATTTAAAACATTCGTAAGTTAAAGTGGTATAACTTACAGTTGGATGGCAATGCGTCCAATTAAAAAATACAATCAATACAATATTATATTAACTATTACTGTACGAATATACGGCGGGTGTATCAGGACAACCGTAAACGATGAATTCAAATCGTCGTCGTATCAATTATCGTCTAGATCAAATTTTTAATCGTAAAATGTTGCTTTATTCTCATAAAATATCAATTCCAACCTGTCAAAAAATATTCATCAGAAAAATTGTTTATGCACATGCTCAGCGTACGGAATGACAGAATCATCGCCAGCCGTGTTCGTGTCCAGAAATTCTTCTCTGGTCGATTATTTGACCGTCGGTCCACCCATATCGAACACCAAGGCCAAAGTCGTCGATCCCACGGACGACACAGTTGAATTCGGTCCGGGCGAGGTCGGAGAGATTCAGGTCAACGGGCCACAGGTGAGAGATAACAACAGACGTAGTATGATAAACGACGACAAACGGTTGTCGATCTGACAACCATATTATAATGATTTATATAACAATAAACAAACACAATCCGTTTGTGTGTGTATTATGTTTAGGTGATGATGGGTTACCACAACAACCCCGAAGCCACGGCCAACACTGTAAGTCGGGACGGATGGCTGAGAACTGGTGACATCGGTTACTATAACGATCAAAAAGAATTCTTCATAGTCGATCGCATTAAGGAGTTGATCAAAGTCCAAGGATACCAGGTTAATTGAATGACGTTTCGAAACCATTTATTGTGTAGGGAGGAGGAGAGGGGATAGTACATTTGATCCAATCCGCGTAGTCTTTATAGACATCCCCTGATCAAGTGAAAATACTTTTTTATAAAATCAAACACATACTAAAAATATAGTAGTTACTGTTTAACCGTGCGAGATATTTTCGTTCGACAAAATATATAATTCAATTACACGCGTAGGAATTGCTGTTTAGCTTTGCAGAATTTAAGGAATGCGCAGTCAACTGAAAAATCGCAGCAGTCTGAGCAGGAGACAACTTTTGACTTTTACTTGACGTTTGCATTCGTCGTAACTTTTATCTCCTTAAACTTTTTGTTAGATACAAATACCTGTCAAACACGCTCATACTATTGCTAATAATGCGCTTTCTAGAATATCACGCTTCTGTTTGGAAAGTATATCCGACTAGGTGATACTATGGAAAATAAAGGTTTTTTTTTTATAACATTATTAAAAAGCGTTATATTTTTAATGTTTTTTTCCAAATGAATTGTATTTTGTCAGTGATATAATCACCTAGCGATTTGTTTTTCTCGGTGTAAAACATTAGAGGTGTTTGAGAAATATTTTAACAGAAAGAATGTGTAGTAGCAGCTCTGACGAAACTAACAATATTTTATCTTTCGAAAAAATATAAATATTCTACGATGGGATGTCGTTTAATTGATACAACCGATGTACACAACACTGACCGACCATTATCGACTGAAAAATAAATGCTAGAGGTATTTCATTACCTATACCTGAAAAAACAATAATAATAAAAATGTAGTTCAAAATAATGAACTAACCGAACAGCAGCAGTTCGATATAAATAATGATGTGACACACACTTTCAGACTATCTCGTTATTTTATCACAATGTATCGATATCTCAAATTCAAAAGTCAAACGGTCATCTTTTATTTATTTGAAATACGTATCGTTTATAAATCTCAAAACCTGGCCAATACATTGCTTACATCAACTGTTGGCCAAAAAGTCTTCCAAATATTAAATTATAAAAAATAACTGATTTATTATTATATTTTACAACTCCACACAATTTTAATCGTAATATACGTAAACAATTTAAAATTATTTTCTGGATGTAATTATAATTAATAATTAATGAAAATAAAAAATAAAAATGGAAAACAATATTTGTGCAATACTCGTTAATAAATTTAAACTTATTATTAACTCGTTCACTGTTCAAGTAACTGTTGTACTAAATAATATTTTTAAAAAAAAATGCAATTCGGCCGTGGAAACAATTTATGATGAAAATGCGTCCAAAGTGAAGTACCGTGTCATCAATATTTGGGACGCAATAGATGGAATACCTTAAAACGGAGTAGCTTTGATAATTGTTATAGTTTTAAGTTACAGTAAAAAGGAAAACTAACATTTACTTCCTTAACTAGTTTACCTCAGACTATATAATATAACTATATTTTAATAGAAGAAAAAATGCATTATCGGTAGTAAACCGATTGTATGAACTCACGATAAAGACAATTCTTACACGATATATTATATTCAAGGCTGGGCAAGTTAATGATTTTTTTTAACTCAGTTAAGTTAAGTTAATATGCACCAATGACAAAAATTTAAAATTTAATTTAACTTATAGGTTAACTCGGGTAAGTTAAAAGTTCATACACACTTGTTGTTAAATATGTATTAAGTTACTAAAAAGTTGATTTGTTTATACAACGGTAGCGTGATTAATTTTTTTCCAACCCAAAACTGAATATTATAGGCTACAGCATTTATACTTAATAGTTAATACAGTATTTCCATATAAGTTAGATTCAAATGATATACATTTTTAACTTTAAACAATTCAAGGTAAATATTTTTTGACATTAAAACAAAATAGACTGAAATAGTGAAAATATAATAAAATTAAAAACAAAATAAATCAACTCACTTACTTCTTAAAATTAAAAATGAATTCGTTAATTTCACGTTAATTGAAACAGAAATTTAGTAAGTTAACAGTCAAGTTAACGAAAAGCCAAAAGTAACTATAGTTACTTAAGTTAAAAAGTTGATTTAATTTAAACTTTTTAACTCGTTAATGCCCAGCCTTGATTATATTGTTATCAAAGTTAATTCGAAATTATCAAAGTCCGCCGTTTTACGGTACCTATGGTGTACGACGATTTCTTTGGTCTTGAACGACTTTTCCACCGTTTTCCAGGTGCCACCGGCCGAGCTGGAAGGACTTCTCAGGACCCACCCGGCCGTGCTGGACGCGGCCGTCATTGGCGTGCCACACGACAGGACAGGCGAGGCGCCGCTGGCGTACGTCGTGCTCGACCCGGACAGGCCGGCCGCCAGCGAGGCGGAAGTGAAGGCGTTCGTGGCGGAACGAGTGGCGCCGTACAAGCAGATCTCCGCTGGCGTGCGGTTCGTCGGATCGCTGCCGAAGAGCGCGGCCGGCAAGATCTTGCGGCGGGTACTCAAGGAAGAGTACGAAAAAACCGGAGGCGCCAAGTGATGATCGCCGGAAGTCGCGCGGTCTCACTAGTTCAGCGGCGATCAATAACGGTGTACCTAAAATAATATTGTCATAGGTAATGTGGTCACGGTTAGGTTAAATACGACGGAAAAACGTTCGTCGTTTGGCTCAACTATCACGTCGTTGGTGGTACGAATCGCTCAAACGAATAATATATATTTTAACTGTTATTATTGCTATTATAGTACGAATTACTGATACGAGACTGCAACAAGTGGTGGTAGTTTTTCTTGTTGTTTTTATTTATCTTATCAACCGTTGAAACATAATCGTTTACCGTCACATATTATATATTATATATTGTCACATAAATATATTATATTATTAAAAATTAATGATTATTGTTGATTTTATATAATATTTAACTACGGTATGAAAATGGGAACTACGAGCGGTCAAAGCCGATTTGTTTTGAACCGAAATACCTACTTGATGATTTCAGTACCTAGTCACAGGGATACGACACTGACACTGTTTTTCCTGATGTAACGACCTATTTTCATTCCAACAGATCGATCTAATTGCGTGATAAGACAGATTTAGATTCCTCGTTTCGACTTCTATTATAGATCTCACTAAAAATAATTAATAATATTATTTTAAACAGACTGGAATTGTACTTACCAACATATTTTGACTTTCAAAATACTGTATAAAATGTATTATGCAAAAGAGAATTATTATTTAGCCTTTATAATATTATATTATAACTAGCCTCAATATTGTATACGGAATTCCTTATAAACGATACGTTTCAAATCCCTGTATGTTAATATTATGATGGAAATTATTAGTACGTCCATGGTGTAGTTGAATTGCCTATTTAGTACGCCGTGTTATCGATGGGCACGCAATACCGAAAATCAAAATACTCGTAAAAAACAAAAAAGGCCGTAAGATTGTATTGTTATCTTTTACAGTTATAAAGATTTAAATTTGAACCAATAAATCCAAACGTAATATATGCACCCTACTACTCTCTTTCTGTATAGTTTATAAACGATTAAAGTATAACAATAATATTATGTTGAAATGTTGATTATATTGTGCATCATTTTAGTATTTTAGTAAATTTAATAACTCTACTGTAATATGAAATGATTTAGGTGGGTGTGTATATGGAAAAGATAAAGTGGTAAGTTTACTATTAATAGAATGAAAATCTTGAAATTTTGTATAAGTATTGTCTTAAATATCAAGAACAACTTATAATAATTTCAAACCATAATATATGAGAGATTATTATTTATACATTTTTAAAAAAAAATCTAAAATCGTCTTACCTGGGGTAAGTTGGCTGGTGTATATTATTCCATGATCATGATCATTTATCATTGATAAATCAATGAAATATAGAATAACTATTAAGTAGGTATATTTAATCTATGATAATATTAAACAGATTATAATAAATTACTCAAAGTAAATGAATAAATATTAAAATATTAGTATTTTTACTAAGAAATATAAACAATTCACCATCTTACTTGTATCGTCAACTTACCACACTCTCCTAAACCAGTGGTACTTCAATTTTACATGAGAATGTAAAATATTACATTTTATAAATGCTCATAACTTGCCAAAAATAAATAAATACAGTAAAAAACCAACGTACAGACACGGACAATGTGTTATTACCTTTAGGTTCTCTATAATTTTTAACCTTACAATAGTTACAAAAATAGTTTTGTTGAGCTAAAATTTTCCATGTTATGTCATGTCAGATCCAAATGGTCTAGCGGGTGTGGCTTTAACTCTTAACGCGTCCTTACATCGAAATTGACGCTCAAGATCTCGTTAGAGTGTTGATAATAATATTACGATAACAATCATTTTGTAGACAAATATTCCAAAATCGTCAAAACAAAATGAAACTCGAATTCGTGGTTGTCGACACGCGTAGATATTGCGGCAAGCTGTTCTAAAAATAATATCCGAAACGAATTTCGTCTCGTCGGATAGGGGTAGTTGCAATTGACGCGGGCACTTGGAAAAAGCGTGTACTGCAGTGCACTTATTAATTATTATATCGGCTCTACATAGTTGCACAGACTATTATTTTTAGGAAAACTGTGAAGTGAAAAATAATTATATTTCTTGTATTCCGGTGATGTATGATAAAGCTGCAATGAACGTATATTTACCGCTATGCGAACGTGGTCTGAGAGCAGTGAAAAATGTCATATCGCTCCCCTACCCCCTTTCAAAAAAGTTTAGCCCATCATTGGACACCTATGTAGTACGACTACCCATTCAACTGGCTAGGTGTACTTATGTGCCATATACATATTATAGTGTGACATAATATGCTGGTCATATGAAATATTCACCAGGCAAGCGTATTGATCGGCTTGCGCCGAACGCACGGCGATTTCTACGGAAACCGCACTGAAATAGTAAAATGTTTTTAACGAAAAGTTTATACAGTTAGGTCAGCAGGCTGCACGGCTAGAGGTAATATTATTATGCCGTGCTTAGTCACAGAAGAAAACCGTAAACAATAATAAGTTGTACGTTTGCGTGTCGGCGTAAGACCCGAATTAATGCAAGAATGAGTAGTTGAACGGTGGAAAAAAACGGAAAATACTTTAATAAAATAACATTAACAACAACAACAACGGTAATATTCCGTGCGTGAAGTCACTAACACGGAATAATTGCCATTAACAACACGATTTTTTGTGTGCGCACGTCGTGTTTTATTTTGTACTATTATACGACCTAGTCGGTTTGGAATCGGTTCCAGTTTTTCCATTGGATCAATAAAAAAAAACACACGTCATCTAGATATATTATACCTAATATATTGTTAGAGGTGTACAATTTAGCCACCTAAGTTCTGTACGTTTTGGTGTTGGTATTCGGCTGCAGTCCCTAAAATATCCATTTTTTTTCGTACTACACGAATGGTCTTAAATCGGTTAAGGGGCCTGGTCGCGACCTGTTTTTTTGCTCAAAAACATGCCTTACAGGAAAAACTCTCACGCCTTGTAGATTGGTCCGATTTCCGTAATTTTTTTTTGTTAAATAGAGAAAGACGTATTGCAGGGCGCATTGAACTTGGATTTTCAAAATTATTTTTCGAAATCTTATATTACAAGTTTGAATTTAATCCATTTTTACAACTTTTCAGTTTTTTTATTATTATTTATTTTTAGCAACGTAATCAAAAATCAAAGTCCAATGCGCCCTGTAAAAAATATTCTTCTATCTAACAAAAAAAAAAATTACGGAAATAGGACCAATCTACGAGGTGTGAGAGTTTTTTCTGTAAACTGTATTTTGACCGATATAATACACCCTATCAACCCCCCCTAAATAGGTATTGGGTAGTAGATTAGTGGAAAAGTCTTATAATTGAGGTGGCAACTAAAATATAAAATTTAATTTTCAAATTTTATAGAATTGCGAAAAATTTGAAAAATCGCGACCAGGCCCCTTAAATCTAAATTAAAAATCAATGCTCTAAAAACTAGCAAAGCAGCACCAATTATACTTCAACTAATAACACATAATATAAATTAAATAACAGTATGCAGAGGTACCTATAAATATATTATTTCATTACTGTGAACAAAATTAAATTATTAATAGTTTATTTATATATTAATTTACTCAAAATTAGTAGGTAGCTACATTTTCAGCAATATTTTTACCAGAATAAGTCAAAGTTACCAAAAAAAAAAAGGCTTAGTCCCCTCAAAATCACTCAAAGCCCCCTCAAAAAAAAAAAAAAAATAATATATATTATAATTTAAAAAAAAAAATTTAAACCCCTAAATATTTACATGAAATACGAATAATAATAATAATTAGTAACAACACAAAATATTGTTTAATATATAGGACATAGGTACTGTGTGTCTACTGTCTGTGTAGAATGTAGACAATAATTAAAATTTAGTTTGATAAAAAACCAATAATATATAAAGAGGAATGTGAAACTATAAAATTATACACAATATTATGATATAAGGGTTTGTAACACACTTTTAAACTTCGTACTGCACAAGGTGTGTCGTACGCTACACACAATTTTAGGGACTACGACACCGAATACTATTCGGTGTCTTATCCATACTTAGTAATAATATGCCAAAATCGTCGCGAACGATAGGTTTTGTGAGTATAAAAATGATTATAGGTACACTACAAGTGTACTGTGTTGTGAGATAAATTAAATTTTGCACGATACCAATAATAACGCTAATAATATTGTGCATCCAATCGTGCAGCTTCAAATTTAGTCATACAGAATCATTCGACGAACTTTTTGCTAGTTATATTAATAGAAAAATTATAAGATTAGAATACTTAGTGAATCTTATAAACCGAATACATGGAACGTGTATTGTGTGTAGATTCGATACGTCTATAAGTGTCTCGTCCTACAGGGGCCACCATTTTGAGTCTGTCAATATTTTTTCCAAGATTTTTCACTAACAGAACTTTACTATCAGCTTATTTTTCACCACGGTCTTCCACTAAAAATCAGTGACATGGTATCCTGCTCGGTGGTATTCGCTTTTTTATGATAACAAGCATAATATTATCGAATATCGCGAAGACATTTTTTATTTCTTATTCCGCCACATTACTCAAAACGGCAGCATACTAAGGTGGGGGACATGTTTTCAGACGCAATACGCGTTCGTTATATTCAGTTCAGCGAATGAATCACTCTGTAAAATAATTATAAAAATACTCTACCACGTCCTTGTCAAGAACGTACGTTACTGTTATTATCATGTGAAATCGTGTACAACCTAAATTAAACTACTTTTTATTTACTACGTCATCGTCTTCATTGACTTTCTGAAGAGTGAGAGTACCTACGAATTATTATTGAGAACAATCGTCTCCGCGAAATCAATACCTACGTTATAATATAGCTTAAGTTTAAATCCATAACATTTTTAATATATTATATCGATGGCGTAGCGCACAAGTGTGATAAGTGACATTTTCGTAATTGT